AATTTGATTAACCTCTCACAAAATGGATTTTGTAAAGTTGTGCTTGCAGAAGGTTTTTCAAATATTGAGCTGCAAGATGAATGGAACGATTTACCTGCAAATTCGCAAGGTGTAGAAAGAACAGTTAAATTAACTTCTGAAGATTCACAAATTGTATATGGAAAAAAAAACACATTCTCGAAAAGGACCTCCAATCGGTTGTGGACTGGGGCAGGAATTGGCTGGTTAACTTTAATGCCTCAAAAACAAAACTGCTCTCTATTCCTCACTAGAGAGAACCATCCCTGCCCCCCCCCCCGCCCCATTAGAATGTCCACGAGAGCACCTCTTTGCGACTGGTCGGTCTCACATTGTCTGCTGACCTGAGATGGAATGAATACATTGAGTCAATAGCTTCATCCACCGCAAGGAAAGTTGGCTCCCTGTGCCGCGGTAGGAATTTTTTCTCGTCGGAGTCAATCCATCAAATCTACAAATCAACCATTCGCCCTTGCATGGAGTATTGCTGCCATATATGGTCTGGAGCGCCCTCTGTTTGTCTCAAGGTCCTTGATAAAATCCAAAGACGGATATGTAATGTAATTGGCCCTGATCTGGCATCTCGTCTGCAGCCGCTCTCTCACAGACGTGCCGTCGTCTCCCTCTGTCTTTTTTACAAATACTTTCACGGTAACTGCTCCGATGAACTGCTTTCGCTGTTTCCAAGACTTCATGAATTTAAGCGTTCAACTAGGCTGGCATCTCACTCTTTACCCTTTCACTGCCGAAACTGTTAAGTGTAGCCGTCTCTTCTACTTTAATAGCTTCATGTCTCGCACTTCTCGCCTGTGGAATTCCCTCCCCTTTACCTGATAGCTATAATCTCCAACTATTCAAATGTAATCTCAATCGACGTCTCCAGATGCCTTGATCTATCCCCTATCCTTCTCTTCATCCTTTCCTCTATCACTCCTCTTTACTCTTTCTCCAACTCTCTGTAACCCCTTGCGTACTAGTGACTTTCCGCCTTGCTTGGAGTGGAATGCTTTAAAAAAAAACATTGTGCCATCAAATAAAACCTTCATTTACTTCAAAGGGAAATTATACAGAACAATTTACCTATATTATAATGTAATATATTATACAGCGCAGTAGTTTTAACGTAATTTTCAATAAACAGTGGCGTCCTGAGCATGAAGATAAACTACATCCGCGTCCTGAGTAAGACAATAAACTACGTCCAATATCATGGCCTCTGATCAGGAGGTTTTGAGTAGCGTGGAACCACCTCTTAATTGCTTGTGTTCCCAGGTCCCCCCTGGCCCATGGTAGTAGTACCTGTTAGGCTCCCAGCTATGGGCAAATAGTTAACCCCCGAACTGGGAGCAAAACGTGTAAAAATAGGTTTTAATATTTTCCTCGTTAGGTTGTCATTTCTTTCTGCGGTAGATCACTTGCCATCCAAGTGGGTAGAAAAGAGGATTCATACCTTCCCCAAGGGTATTAGCACGTAAGTGAATGTAATGGATTCGACTGGAATTCGAACTCGGTTCTCCGATTTCTCAATCCGAGCCGCTAACCATTACTCCACCGTGAGAACATTACTTTTCGAAATTCAACATCTGATTTTGAGTTCTTGATACAGGCTACTTTTTCAATTTCACCAGAATTACCTTCTTCAGCTACAGACAAGTTTTTGGAATGGTTAAAAGAGATTGAGAAGACTTTGGTAAGGAGGAAGGACAATGACATAAGAGGTTTCAGTACGACATAAATGCCCATTGGGAAACAATAAGCCGGAAGAGAGTTCCACAGGTGAGAAGTTCGAGAAAAGAAACTATTAGAATAGAACTTACAGTTGCAATTGGCGATTTCAGCAGTAAAACGATGAGACCTAGTTGCCAATCTAGCTTAAATTTATACAGTCGACGTACCAAGAAAGATAGACCTTTAGAACATCTGCCAAGAAAACATTTATAAAAAAGATAGAGGGAACCCACGTCATTCACATTGTTATAAACTATCCATTTTTCATCGCTTCTTAACATTGGTGATCGAAGGAGAACCGGTTCTTTTACTAATTGTTTGTCAGGCTGTTGTGTCGAAAGGCTGCCTAATCTTCTCTACACGATTATTGAAACATGGACTCGTCCATCCGCTATGAGTAAAACGTTTGCTCATGGATCAGGAGCAAAACGTGGGTCGCTAAGGTGTAGCACTTTGAGTCGTACTGTATTCTCAAGCCATATTTGTCTCCTCTCAATCTATTTGTTTCTATATTTTTTCCACACATTCTTACTAACCCGCAATATATGTGAACTTTATAACACAAGTAAAAAATAATAGCCAGGATTTTAAATTCTGATTTTCTAGGGAGACAAACCATTTCCATTTGGAAAAATGACGCTTCACAATCTTTCTTACATCTATCTATTGCCATTATACTTGTGATTAGAATACTAAACGAAACGCGTCCTGGGTATGACGATAAACTACATCCGGCAGTAAAGCCACTGATGAGGAGATTTTGAGGAGCGTAGAAACACCTCTTATTTGCTGTCGACCCTGACCCGAGGTTGAGGCATTTTTTAGGATCGCAACTATGGGCAAATAGTTAGCCCCTAAACTAGAGTCAAAACACTATGAAAGTATTAAGAAAATATTGTAAAAATACCAGCAATACATGTTCGTAGTAATAAAATTTACCAGCAATATAGTTTTGTAAAAAAAAAAAAATAAGAAAAATAACAGCAAAATATTTTTTGTAAAGAAATTACTAATGCTCCCGAGAAGAGTAAATTTCGGCATTAAATGACCCATAAAGTGTTGATATGCCGTTAAACAAACAAAACAAAACAAAACCAAACTAAACGAAGGTTAATTCATATTTCGACATCAAATTCTTTCTTACAAATTGTTTTAACATTTTAATACTTCTATTCTGGAGTGTTTCATATCTTTGAGGTTTGTTTCAATGTTCGATCACAAAAAAAATCGTATTAAACTAATATTGCACAAACAAAAAGAAGAATATTAAATTTACTATTGAAAAATAAGGTTTTGTTGGGGAGTGTTTCATTATTTTATATTTTGTGTGTGTGAGCTTTCTGCTTTTGTCTTTGTTTCTTTGTTTTTTCGTTAGCGTGGAAAGTACCAGTCCCTGCCTAAAAAAAAAGAAAAGAAAAGAAAATTTAATTCCAGCTGAGCGTTTTCAAACACCTGCAACAAATTAAGTTGCTCCATTTTAAGATGTCACGCTAACCATTTCTATAAACGCTGCCTTTCGCTCAAAAAACGGAGATCGTCATCTTGCCCTGGTGAGCTTGCGTGGCCAACCAAATAGCGAATTTACTAAGCGCAGTTTAGATGTGGCACAAGAGCATAAGTTTGGAGCATTCAATGAGGATTGAACACACTAATCAGTCGTAACTGATTTAGCAAGACAAGCGTATTAACCATTACACCATGTTAAAGAACCGGCATGACTGACCAAATATGGCTTTATTCGTTTTCTTTACGCCATACACCAATATCTCCTCCAGGGTACGTCGTCGTCGTCGTGTAATGGCTACGACTGAAAAGTGATTTCGATCCTTACTGGGTGCTCCATACTTTCGGCCTTCTGCTACATCTATGCTACGCTTAGAAAATCAGTCAGCATTTCAAAGTGGTTTAATAATTATGGCTGCATAGGGAGTTCGAACCTCACTGGGTGACCCATACTCTCAACCTTGTGCCACAGTTATGCTACGCTGGGTAAAGGATTACCTCGACGTGGCGTAATGGTTAGCAAGCTTATCTCGATAGATCAGTTACGACAGAATAGGGAGTTCGATCCTCACTGGGCGCCCCATACGTTCAGCCTTGTGCCGCATCTTTCCATAGCAATATCTATTCCGAACGTCTTCCGCCATTTCCGGTCGCCTAAGCAGTTTTTCCGACTGAATTGAACGAAACTGCTGTCTGATAATCCATTAATTCTAATCTTCGAGATTAAATTTACATTAAGACTATGAAACAATAATTTGGTTAATGTATTTTGGTTATTTTTGTTTAGCGGCATATCGACACTTCCATGGGTTAAACATCGAAACCTAAATACTTTGTACACAATTCTATGACTTGAACTACAGATATTTTGTATATAATTTTATATTTTCAGGGAAAACGTATGTTTTTTTTTTTTTTTTTTTTTTTTAGATATAGAGTTTGTAGATTATAAAATGTATTGCTGGTAATTTTACTATGAAAATGGATTTTTGTACTTTAGTGTCGTATTGAGTGTCATTTTGCTGTAAAAATATATCACTACTGATCATTTTCGTTTTATAAATATATTGCTGGTATTTTTTAAAGCCATTATCTTCATACTTCGTGAACCACCGAACAAAAATGAAAAGATTATTTTCCCATAGTTGGGACCCTAACAGGTGCTACCACCTCGGGTCAGGGTGGACCTGGGAACAACAGCAAAATTGGTTCCACGCTGCTCAAAACCTCCAACCTCCCGACCAAAGGCCTTTCTTGTCGGATGTATTTTATCGTTATACCCAGGATTTATTATGTGTTGTGTCCAGTGGGTCCCGGTTAAATGGGATATATATTACAATGAAGAACCGTTTAATAAGGCCAAATTTGGAAAAAAAAAGGGAATCCCCTTATCAGTTAGTCTTTTTTTTTTATGTATCATCGTCCTCATAATCAATCCCATGTCCGTGTGTGGCATATGGCCCTTCACTACCTCCCCAGACATATCTGGGTTGTTCCTTGATTGATTCGTTTTGTACGGCTTATCAACCCTTTGCAGGTTATTTAAAGCCAGAAAATATTTTGGGGATAATAATCTTTTAGTGATACAAGTCTTACTAATTAACCCATAGCTAGGGGGAGAAGAAGCAGATTAATTACCTTTCCTGGTGACATTTGCTCGTAAATGAATATAACGAACTCGGCTGGAACTGAAAATCGGTTCTCCAATTAGCTTATTCGGGGCCATTATCTATGCCACACGTCCAAATTTACAGCATCTGGAATACCATAACCCATCTAGGTACTAACCAGGCTCGATGTTGCTTAACTTCGGCGATCGTATGGGAACATGCGTTTCAACGTGATGTGGCCGTATGCCTAACTGTCTGGGTTGAAAATCCGGAGAGAGAGATCCATTCATGCGTAGTATGTCTTGGGCAAATAGACCTGTCAGAGCCCATCCCTCTCCTTGCCAAACCACAGTCGATGTCCTTGAAACCTAAAAGCTCGCCTTTATCGTTGAAACATACTCGTCGATTCCCTCGGGATGGGAGGAAACCTCCCGCTCTGGCCGTTGACTTCAGTCTGAGACGCCCCCTATCCCTGGTCAGCGATACCGTATCATCACTTCATTGGCTGCATCCATAACTATGGAGCCCTGTCTACCCTGCTTTGCTAGATGATCGTTGGCCATAAATAGACAAAGGTAAATCTGTCTTTCCGAGAATTGTTAAATGAGGAACCGGTCTAGTTGTTAAGCCAACCATGCGGCAGTGCTACATGTTACCAGTAGAGCTCTTATGCACACCCATTTAAAATGTTATACAGACCAAAAGTTATGATCTCTGTGTGTCCGGTTAAAACGAAATCCGGTGCATATTTCTCGATCACGAATCTTGTAAGTCATAGAAGCACGACATCTAGTACTCAACAGCAAGACAGCCTAACGGTGCCCAACTCTCTACAGGTTGGTTTGAATTCAGAGTTTTCCTTCCCCTATACTGCCAATCAATGCTATAGAGCACAATCTGCTCTAATATTTACCCATACCTGGGGCGGGAATAGCTTGATTCATAACAATAAGATTGAATAAAATTAGTTATAAAATTATTCTATGTCGTTAGGTGACAAAGTGGATTAATGGATAGCGGCTCGGATTTGGATTAAGGAATCAGAGATTTCGAATCCCAATCAAATCCGTTACATTCACTTCCGTGCTAATACCCTTGGGTATGAATCTTCTTCTTCTCCCCCCAGCTATGAGTAAATAGCAGGACAGACCGAGTTCTGGACTACCGTAGAAAGAAATGCCGACCTACTGCCGGGAAAAAATCTGCCTCGTCATACACGCTTAGGCGATCATCTGTCGAAAGTCACATGACACATAACTGACTGACTGATGTCACGCATGGCACATAACTGACTGTCGTTAGGAACTGATGATTTGCTTGATTGACGGTAAAACAAAAAGACTTGCGTTCGATTCTCAAGGAGTTTTCGAATTATATAAATTATTTTTCTAATTTATTTTACCAGGTTAAACTAAAGTACGCTGAATGGAGTATGCGTTTTGGGATTGAGGTTAATAAGATAATTTCTATTTCGTGTCCTTTTAGAACGTAGATGAACATGGCTCTCCACAGTTTCTGCGGTCAGCAAAAAAAAAGAGAGCCAGGAGAATATTTCTGCTTTCCGAGACCACTGTTTAATTTTCACTTATAGAACTGTATTAATGTTAATAGTATTTAAGAGATAGGATTACCATTTCGTTATGGGAATCATCAGTTCCTAACGACATAGAATCATTTTATTCCTAATTTTATTCAATTTTATTGTTGCATTTTTATCTTGACACGCTGCATTTCAGGGGGTGAAACGTCGTAAATATAACAATAAAGATGAGGACAATAGTCTGAACAATGTAAATCGTGTAAATAGTTACAATACCTCATCTCAGAAATTAAACAGACGTAGTTTTATTCCATCTTATTGTTGCTTTTTTATCGCAATACTGTGGCTTGATATAATTTTCATTATTATATGCCTTGTGCTGTAATATATATAGATACATTACAACACAGCACGGCGGGTTGTGTTCGAATTCCAGTCGGGTTCATTCGATTGCGTGAAAATACTCTTGGGTAAAGTATGAATTCACCTCTTCTCAGCTATGGGCTGAATAATAGGACAGACAGGGTTCTATACTCTTTGTAAGACAACCAATCTATCGCAGAAAGTAATGTCAAAGTGATGCCGGTAAATATTCTGCCTAGTCAGTCATAAATCGTAAAAGACTGATCGACCAAGCGTGTATTACGTATGGCACTTAACTGACTATTGTTTTATTCAATTTTGTTGTCGACCTTTTATCCAAACACTCTCGATTGATACACTCTTCATTATCTTTTTTATTGTTTTATTAACAGTTTCATTCCATCTTATTATTGATGCTTTTTTTACCTTGACTCACAGGATTGATACACTCGCCATTGTTTTTTATTGTTTTATTACTAGTTTTACTTCATCTTATTATTATTGCTTTTTTTTTCAATCACAATACTGTGAGTTTATAATCTTTTCGACCCGAATGTTGTAATAAAAATCATCAATAAAATAAAAGGGGGAATAAGACAGGTGATAAAATAAGAGTTCTTTTCTTTTTAATGTCTTTCTAGCAGATTCATCAGTCAGTAAAGTCTCTACCGGAAGTTCTCATCGATTCAAGCTGTCAGAGCAATCAAAGTATACAATTGATGCCGGTATACCGGGAGACGCATGCAAGAAAATCCGTCAGTCTATTCCTTAATTAACCGATGAAATATTTCACGAACATTTTTCTACTAATGATTCATTATCTGTGATCAGGCAACTACGCGATCCTTGGTGAGATCTTAAGAACTAAAATATGTATATTTTTTAATCGATATCACCCCATGCAAGACAGTAAAGCCACTAAGACACAAGGGATTTCAGGGTGTGGAATAATTAGGAACAGAAACATTAATAATGAGCGGAAAGAGAAAAGATTAATCAGGAGGACAGAAGATAGCGATTGATATTGTATTTAAAATTTTGTAGATTAAAGTTGGCTAGAAAGCTTGGAGCCGAAAGGGAATTCCACAGACGAGAAGTGCGAGAAGAAGAAGCCGTTAGCGTAAAACTTACAACTATATCTAACTAGTTTAAGTGTAAATTGATGAGATCTCGACGACAGTTTAGTACTGCGCTTAAATTCATAAAGTCTATGTACCATAGTGTAGAACTCATACGTACAATTACCATGAAAGTAATTATTTAAAAAAAGTACAGAGTTACGGTGCTTTGAATTTATAAAATCTTTTTTAAAGGTTTTACAGGAAATGAAATTTCCCAATTTTACTGTTATCGTTCTTTCTAGAATTAATGGAGGTTCCCTTCCAAACCTTTTGTTTACGATAATATTGAACGTCAACATCTTCAGTATATCATATGGCGAATTTCTTACTGCTGTATCGCTACTTTCACGGAAAGTGCTCGGACGAACTGCATTCCTTGTTTCCGTTAGGCCTAACTTTCCCGGCAGGCCACGCCTTGCCACTTACATAGTAGCACACCACCCATATCCCCTTTGTATTCCATCGGTCAGAAGTGAGTTCTACTCAAGCAGTTTCTTCCCGCGAACAACTGCCCTGTGGAACTGACTCCCAATAGGATGTTTCCCCGATCACTACAATCTTAACCTGTTCAAGGCTCGGGTTAACTGTTATCTTCCACTCCTATACACACAAATGGCTTCTTAACCTTTCTTTCACAGATGGAATGTGGCAAGCCTCTTGCTGTTCTATCGTTACTACCATGGAAAGTGCTTGGACGAACTACATTCCTTGGTTTCGCTAGGTCTAACCTTCACGGCTAGGACCCGCCATGTCACTTCCATAGTAGCAAACCATCACATTCCCTCCGCATTCTACTCAAGCAGATTCTTCCCGCAAACGATTGCTCTATTGAACCGACTCCCAAAGGGATGTTTCCCCGATCACTACAATCATAACAAGTTCAAGTCTAGAGGTAACCATTATCTTCCCCTCCTATCCATATAAACTACCCCTTAATATAACTCTGTACCTCGAGTGGCCCACAGGTCTTGTACAGGTTGAAACTTATTGTACAAAAAAAAACTTTAATTTCTCATTAATTATATGAGATACCCATTTTAATAGTTGAGAGGAAACCTTACGGTGTTTTGCATATAATCTATAAAAGATGAAACCAAATTTTACAACTACGAACGAAAAGCTTTTTTTTTATATTCAAGTTCACTCATAAAGCAGCACTCGATGACTTACACATTAGTGGATATGTTTCTCAGAGAAAAAATTGAGGATAGTTTGTTTTTGTTTCGTCTAGGGAGAAATATTTGATGTTTCGAAGTGAATTTAAGGACAATAGCATTAGATATTTCAAAGGCTTTTGACGCCTTTAGATTTTTCCTTTGGGATCATCTCGAAAATAAAGTCTATGCCAACAACAATTCAATAGCTGAAGGATGAGATAATAAGGCATAAAGGATTATATGGAATCACTGGGAGAGTCTTCACAATAATAGTGTCCTTCCTAACGTGTAAGTCCCTAAAGTCTGTTTTTAACGGACACTCCTCCGGGGCAACTAGCAATCTACGTAGGCGTCCCTCATGGATCGCTCTTCGAACCAACCCTCTTTTTATTTTACATAATTGATCTGCCTAAGCGTATCAAAGTTCTCCTTTTCTCTCGTGGGGGATGCTTACATATCTACCTGTCATAGGGTTTGTTCAACGTGCGCACATCCCAAGTGCAGCTGGCTCAACCACCTGTTCAAATGTCGAGTGTGGAGAAGTAACTGAGATCTAGCAAATTGCAGATCTGTACCTGTTGACTCAGAGGGCTCCTTTCAAGTCAACCCGCTGATGCACATAGCTTCTTTGATAGTCTCGTAAAACACTGAATGCAAAAACTGTTTTTTTTTTAGCATTATCTGAGGTGAATAATATGCTACACATATATTGTACACAATGAGAGAACCTGTTCTTCATCTCTTTCGGGTGCATGCTTATATATCTGTCATACGGTTTGTCCAACGTGTGCGCATCCAAACTGCAGCTGAGTCGACCACCTGTTCACTTCTCGGCTGTGGAGTAAGCCGCGTACCTGCACCTGGTTCTTTCAAGTCAACCCGCTGATGCACCTGGCTTCTTTGATGGTCTGGTGCAACACTGAATGCAAAGCCTTTTTTGCCATTATCTGAGGTGAAAGACATCCTACGCATCCATTATACGCTTGATAGCCCCATTCAACTAGTATAGCTTGTTTTGCTATTGACAATTAGTGCACTGAGGTTTTGGAAATTCGTTCAAACAA